ACATAATTATGGATCGGGTCATCCATCAGGCTTAAATATGATATGAGGATCATTCTGGGAATTGAAATCGAGGTTAGATTGGTCGTGGTAAGTTACGTCATCACTAGATACAGTTAAAATATAGCTAAAATTGCAATTGTTTTAATCAAAAAACCCTAGAGGGGCATAGAGATAATCATACATACTCAGCGGTTTGAGAAATTTCTTCCCCAAATCTGAAACAACCAATCTAACATGGAAATCCTACCCTCCATGTAATCAGTCTTCGTGTTGTGTGTGATCTTGTCCTTCTTGGTCTCTAGTTGCGGTGGCTTCTCCAACGCAATCTCCATCTTTAGCCTGACAGGCTGCAGAATCTTAGCAGGGGCTTGTATCAATGCAGTCTGAATCTGGTACAGTACCTTCTTGGAGAACTTGCTCCAAACTGTGCTCCATCCACTCTCATCTGTGTACGAATCTATCAGAGTGATTTGCTCTACCGAAATCATATTTACATAACCTCTTTAGGATCTTTTAAATACACTTTTGAAATCATTATATTTCCCTCTTTGATATTTCTCTCAAGCCAGTCATTGAAACTGAAATAGCCCTCAATGGTGTGTCCAAGTAATCTGTGGTAAGGGCAGTAGTTGGGATGATCCTTCTTGTCTACCTCATTTGGTTTCTTTGGCTCAGGTAATCTGAACTCGGGCTTCTTCATCAAATTTTTGAATATCTTTGCCACGACTTCATATTTGAAGGAATACATGTTGTTCAACCGATCTGCAATTGACAAACCTTGTCTGTCATCTGTTTTGTACGGTCTCCATTAAAATGACTTCTAGTCGGACTGATTGTACTACTGATTATGCTGCTGCTGAGACTGATCGCTCAGTGATGTCTGTTGGGAATCCTGATGAGACTGCTCAATATGAATCCTCATCAACTGCTTTCTTATGTCGACCTCTGCCACCGTCCCAGACTTCTTCTCAAATGATTTAGTTGTTCTAGACTTCTCGGCCTTTTCCAAGGACTACACATGCTTAAATTTATCATGTAAGCTGCTATCTTTGTTGAGTAACTTCTCAAATGACTTACTAGTGGATCCCTTGAGCATGAAGGTTACTAGACCATGGATGCTCTTGATTAGAATCTCTATCACATGTTATTTCTGAAGCTGAGGTTCACACTCCATCCTCAAGTTTCCCCATCCCAAAAGGTAGTCAAACAAGGTCTCGTTAGATTTCTGCCGCTCCACTATGAGATTTTCTATGATGGCATGATGCTGCACTCTAGCAAATCTCTTCACAAACAAATGCTTCAACTCGACAAAAATCTTTACTGATTCGTTGGGTACCTCTGCAGACCAATCAAATGCAACTCCTAACAAGCTGCTAACAAACTAACGGAACATTAAAGTTTCATTACCCCCAACGTTGCATTAACTCACTCGGAAATGTGTTATATGCTGGCGGGGATTTTCTGTCCCATCAAAAGTTTTGATGTTCGTTGGTACAAAGCCCTTGGGGTATGGTACGACATCGACTTCCTCTGAATAAGGTCTATAAAAGAACTTAATATTAAATTTGGCCTAGACATAGAATTAGGTTATGTTATGGACTTATTTATCCTTTATTTTCAAAGGAATGGTAGTGTAAATCTTAAGAAATAATCCTAACAAATTTTTTGCACGCCAATAAATTGCTTTATTGATTAACTAGAAATGTAAAACTTGATGAATTGTAGAACTAAGACTTCTAATATTTGATAAATGGCCTGGAAGTAATTAGTTTCTAATGGATAGCTATTTTTGTTTTCTTTTGATCGATGACCTATTATGAGCTCAATATAATTTTAGTTTTGGTAAAATCAAACTTTACAAAGAGATATTTTACTCACTCTTTATTATTTATACGATTTCATATACTCTCACATGCGCCTAGATCATTTCTTTAAGACTCTATTAGTAGGTGGTCTATTTTTAAATGACCAATTCATAGGCCCAATCATTTGTGAATAAACATAAAAGCTAAATATCGAAAATAGGCTAATGTAGAGGAGGTAAGGTGACACTTGCAAAGGATTTCACATGATAAACTTTGATAATTTTTTAATAATATTTAACACATAAGTGCTTTCATTTTTACAATGTCTGTCAATCACATTTAATACCTAATAGTTCCCTTGTAATAAATAATTTATATTGATAAGAAATACTTCATATCAAACTTAGTTTTAATAACTTCCTTTTTTTGTAGGCACTATACATTTACTAGGAATTAGGAGAGAAACGTGAATTACCTAACACATATAAAGCATTTTGGTTGTACTTTTAATTTTAAAGTGGCCCCAATAGGTTCATGGGTTGATCGTACATTAATTACACCATCTCCATCAATTACTACTCCATATATTCTATCATTGCACGTTGCATATATGTCAAAAATATTTATTCTCTTAAAATCCTTACTTTCATTCATTTTTTGCATCCAAACATCTCATAACATTCACATATGATCGTCATAAGATATTATAACTCATAATTGGATAGAGGGGTGTCACTCATAATCTTTTCTATATTTATATTCTCCTTATCATTTCTCATTTTTATAAATTAGATAGAAATTTTCACCGGTAATGAATATGTCATTTCTTATGATACTTGCAACATTTGATCTACTTAAAATTTTTAGAGGTAGGCTTTGTGACAATCTTAGTGTTTTGATCACTAATTGATGGAGGATTAGGTTTACCAATGGATATATAAGTAATTAATGTTATGGGCAATTTTTTTGTCTTAATGATGGGTGAGAAATTCTTCCATTTTCTTAATGGATAAGCTACAACATTGTACACTCCTAAGAGCATAAGTGTTATGCAACTCTATATTTCTTTAATCACTACCCAAAGTTGAATAATAAATTTATTGGAAATTTATCAATTTACATCCAATTCTAATCACAAGATTTTAAAATTTATTTAAGTACTTAATGACATACATACTTTCACTCCTAAGAATTTTCAAATTCATATGGTGATCTTGTTATCTCCTTTATCACTACCAAAATGAGAACTAGTCATTCTTAAACATATTTTCTTCATTACATTTCATTAATAAATTCTTCTATGAAAATTAAATCTCATCTTGAATAGAGTCACCCTCTGATTATCAACAAAATAATATTACTCAAAATTTAATCATCTAATAAATTAAACTGAGGAGGTTACTATGGTCATGGAAACTATTAAAAGTTGGGATATCAACATTTATTTATTAATTGGTCATTAAAGTATTCAATATCTCTTCGGTGGCTCTTATCTTTTATCATATAATTATTTTATAAAGATATTGTAAAAGGATATTTTTCTCTTAAGATCATTTTTAAGAGAGATAGGTGTGATAGGGGCAAAAGAATTAGCTAAAAACCTTTGATTAATTTGACTAAACTCAGCCAACTTGATAATAGAATGGTTCGCATTTTATCCCCATGTTCATCAAATTTATTTTGACTTCAATCTATCATAACATTGTGGTCATTTTATTTTATACTATAGTCCTCTACCACATTGGATAAACCGATAAATTATTTCATCTTTATTGATTTTGATGGCATGATGTTTTGTATTTAAATGATCCAAAGATCTATTTTTTGCCAGGATTTTCTTTAGGTTTTAGAATCCCTCAGTATGTGAGTGGTGGGATGTAAAAGCAGTGGTGGCGAGGTTAATGTCAACAAAATATAGGACGCTGATGGAGCCTAAGAGCATGATTAGAATTTTGAGTTTGTTAATAGTGAAGGTTCATGTTCATGTTTTGAAAAAAAAAATTAAAACATTTTTGGGATATTTATAGATATGATCTAGTGCTAAGTGGGAATTTTTTCAGATGGTTTATGGGGGAGAAAAATCAAAAATTAAAAAGGTTGAAGTGAAACAAGAGTAGTGAAGAATGATGTGGTGAGGGAGATAATGGAAGTATACATATAAAAATAAACAAGAATAATTATATACAATCTCACCAATGAGTGGGGCTCTCAACCACCAAGCTTAGACGAAAGAGGAAGCACAAAGAAACACATCTCTAATCTAAATTCAAAATCACATAAAAATTTTCATTACACTAATACAATCATACTAATATAATTTTTCAAGATTTTTCAAAACAATTTATAAATTTTAAAAGGTAGGTGATGGTTCCTAGTTTTAAGAAATTTTTTGGGTAGGTTGACCCCTTCTTTCATGTGTTATTGAGTGTGTTGACATCATAGATGACCAAGGAGTGTGTTGACCCCTCCTTGGTCATCCCATAATTCCTATGTAAGTTTCCAAGTCATTCTTCTTCCATTTGTAATTCAAGGTAAAAATTTATGGTTGATTATGGCCAAGAAAATTGATTTTAGAAATTTATCTTCTTCCAAAGTGTATTTTTACCTTAAATAAAGCATTGATGAACATTGATTTGTAAAACACTCATAATCAACTTATACATTTCACCATAATATATATAACAATAATCAGACAATAAATAATCATATGACATTATATTCCCTTTTATAACAATATACTATCTGTCTACAACATCTAAATATAAATTTATGAGGAAAGTGTATTTACAAACAACACAATTATTATGCATACGCATATAGCCTAAAATTTTATATCTATATATGTAAAACTAGTCTTATAAATCAATGCAAGAAAATGTGTATTCACTTCTAAAAACTTAATAACATAAAATTTTGTGTAACATTTAATATTTGTGTTATCCATATAAATATATAAGAATTGTGGGGTAAATATGTAAATGCTTTCATCCATCATTTTCTGTCATAAATTTAAACCAGGGCCTAAGAATTATTTCATCAGTTTAAAGAACAAGCCATAATCATTTTCTCCTTGATGATGATCCATGTGTGGGGAGATTAAAAACTTTTGACAAATTGGTACAAAAACCCTTCAATTTCTCCCTAATAAAAATAAATAATAAAAAGAAAAAGAAAAATGAAAGAAGCTTCTTTTCGTATTGGACTGCGAGCCAGGTTCGACTCGTCGCATGACGCGCGTCACAGGTCGTCTTGCGTGAACCCACCCTCTGCTTGTAATCCGGCACAAATCCTAATATCTTATCGTTTACTTTCCCCCTTTATAAAGAAACAATTCCTTCCCCACTCTATTCCCAGTTCCTTCTATGCTTCTGATTCCAAAACTTCCATTCCCGAATAGATCGATCCTAAGATAGAGATTGATATGGGAGTGATTCGCAACACGGAGAGCTTAGAGGCGGAGGTGGAGGAGTTCCGGGAGAAGCTCCTGCTGGGAACGGGAACCGCTCCGTGGAAGCGCGGCCCTAACGCTGCCCGCCGAGGATCCGACGGCGACGAATTAGCCGGCGACAGCCGCATGGTCTGCGTCACCAGCGCCGTGTCTTTTCTCGGCTTCGCCATCGTCTCCCGCCTCTGCTCCCGGGGTTATTCCGTCCGCCTCGCTCTCGAAAACCAAGGTTCGTCTTTTTACACTACCTCGGTTCGTCTTATTACTCTATGTCGGCAACGCCAGGACGATCGCCGGAAGGGCAAAACTTTTGCAAGATACAATGAATGATTTTTTCCCGACGAATTTTAAAAAATGGGAATTAAATTTGATATTTTTATTCCGCTAATTGTATGTAAAATTTTTCGGATTTTTTATTGGTTATTATTTTATCATTGCGCATTTACATACATACAAACCTATTCTATGTCATATCACGGAACTTTTTTATATCACAACACAACTATCATTATTATAAAAATGCAATGCACATGTTTCATACATAATAATTAAGTAAACAAGAAAATTAGTATTTAGATGTTAGATAAGCAAAAAAAATATATATATATAAAAATTGTGTGATGTATATGTAAATTTGTCTTTATTATATATGTTAAGGATATAATTTGATTTTTTTTTAAATTTTGTGTAAACTAAATTCCTATAAAATGTACTATTTAAACAGTAATAAAAATACTGCAAGTCGATTATTATTGGGGGACTTACATATCTGACACTTAAACTTGAACTATTACATATTTGACATTTTAGCAATGCTTGAAAGAATATATTTTATATTTAAAATTTAAAATAGTGATATTTTTAATGTGATATTCAAGATTTGGGTGATTTAAATGTAAAAATAAATTTAATTGTTGGATATGTAAATAAACATGAAATGGGTGATACATATGTAAATGCGCCATGCATTATTTAAATTTAGAAATATTCTTCTTATTAAAAATATTTTTTTTATGTACTTTTAATATTTTAAAGTGTTTATTTTGCTTTCTAGTGAGGTCGGATTACGGGCCTGACCGAACCTAAGACTGTGCCAGCTCACATATCTGGCCAATTCGACTCTAACCATCATTTATTTTAAGGAAAATAAAAATAAATAAAGTAACAAAATAATGGTAATTATTTATTTAAATAAAAAATAATGTTATTTTTAGAATTTTTATGATGTTGCGCTGTTATGTCACTTCTTTTGCCGTTTACCCAACAATTTCGGAGAAGATTTGAATTAGAGAACGAAAATTCTCTCCAAACTAAATACGAATGTTCACAGCAGCACCACATCAAGTTGATTGAAATTTTATGAGTTAAATTAGAGTCAACCAGAGTTTGAGTTTTAATAAGTATAAGTAATATGCAACTATCTTTTTTTTAATGTTTCAAGCTAATTTTGCCTTGAATTCAACATGTAAATATGAAATTCTAGAAAATGAGAAAATTGATTGACTGGTTTCGTGATTAAAAAAATTATTAAAATAATGTAAACTTTATCGAAACATGTATAATATGACATCAAAAAATAAGTGCTTAATTTAATAAAACTATGAAAAGGTGGAATTTTAAATGAATGGTATTATTAATCGTTTTCTTTCCTTTATGGGAGATTTTCAAGTTCTTCTTCCGCCGTTCTTGAACTTCAATCTTATAATTGAATTTATTTGTATAAAATAAAAATGTACCAAAATAATCTTAATTCCTGATAGAAATATTCAATCATTCTCTAATTTTAAATGTTTATTATTAATATTATATATATATATATATATATTTAGAAGGTAACATTGTAACATCTTTTTTTGTCTGATGGTGATATCCTTACAACTTCAACCCACATTTATTCGGTTCCAGCTATAGCTTAAACGAATAGTTAATGCCGCAGGATTGGTGGATACCATCGCCTGAAAAAATTGAAGTTTTGGTGTTAGATATGTATGTACGTAGACATTAAGTGCTATGCATTTAAATCTTCTTAACATTTATTTTGCGGCCACCGTCTTCAAATTTTGTTCTTTTTCTTTAGTTAAAAAATTATGTCATGCAGATAGAAATTTTATTTTGAAAATTAAAGTGGTGCCAACTCTTCACGCGTATTACTCTAAACTCAAATAAAATTTATTCTTTTTTAAGTATTTTAATACAATTTATAGCAAGATAGATTAAAATTATTTTTTTTTTCGTTTTTAGATGACGAATGTTATAAATGCTACTAAAATTTTAAAAAATTTACATTATTCCACTTATAATGGTAAGAAAAATGGAATTAATCCATGAAATTTAAAAAAGAAATAGGTAATGGTGAAAGTTAGCTAAATAGATGGTAGCGATACTTGCTACACGCAAACCCAGCTATACTTGACTTAAAGAAGAAAAGACAAGGTCCAAATTACTCATAAAATAAGGAACTTCGAGCATTAAATTTGGCCACTTTTGTCAACCAGCATTGAAATACTTTATTAAAGACTCATTTTTTAAAAAAGATAAATGTGCTATTGTCGGATTCGTAGCTCTTAAAAAAAAAAACATAAAATGATCGTAATTTAAGAAAAATAAATAGGATTACCACGAGATTTATTTTGAAATTAAAAAATAGATTAAGTTTTTATTACATTTTATTTATTTTCAAATAATTTCAATAATTTGATATCGTTTTGATAAAAAAAAATTTGTTCAAATATATGTCATGACCTGAATTTTGAAAATGAATTTGACGTCAACAGAAGATGTAGAAAAGCTGAGGGAGTTGCAGATGTTCGATGAGATGGAGGAGCGCGTTTCTTCTGTGATAGCAAGCTTTATGGATGTGGAGAGTCTATGTAGAGCATTTGATGGATGCATTGGTGTTTTTCACACCTCCAGCTTCATTGACCCTGGTGGGGTGTCCGGCTACACCGTGAGTTATTATATATATTTTCTCCTTGCTTAATAATGCTAATTGTGAATTCTGTTATTTTTGTCAATTTGATGATCTACTTTGATATCAATTTATTCGGTTGAATTCAGATTTGTTATTAGATCACATATCAAGGGATTAGAGTGTTAGAAGGGAGAGAGAAGTGTACCACGACTTGTCCCTTAAAGGCAAATTGGGGTATTTCCGGACACTTGTGATTTTTCTTATATCATCAAAGATTTTTTATATATGGGGGGAGGGAAAGAGAAAGAGCCAATATGTCTCTCTTACGTGAAAAGACCTCTCAATTTATAGTAGTGAGAGTGCGACAAAGAAAAAAAAACATCTCTAATCCTGCTTTAATGAGGGTTTTAAAAGTTATTTTGTGTAATTTATATAAGCAATCATGGCTCGACTATCTTCAGGCTCGTTCAGACTTCTGTTTGTCTGGATTTCTAGCTATTCAGGTTGTCGGTCGTCCAGTCTTGTTTGATTACCCAGACCGCTAGGCTAGGCCGGTCATCCAGGCTATCTTTAGATCGTCCAGGCTGGGTTGATCATCCATGTTGTTAGTTGGTCGTTCAAGCTATCGACCGGCTGTTTAGGCTGCCTTTCGTCCAGGCTGGGGTTGGTTGCTCAGGTTGGGTCAGTCGTCCAGGTTGTCGGTCGATCATCCAGGCCGGGTCTACTGTCCAAGCCGGGTCTACTATTCAAGTTGGGTTGGTCATCTAGGCTGTTAATCAGTCGTCCAGGCTAGGTAGGTCATCTAAGCTGTGTCGATAGTCCAGGCTGACGGTCGGTCATCCAAATTATCGATTAGTCGTCTAGATTGGATCAGTGGTCTAGACTATTGTCATTGAAGCTAAATCATCCCTTTGAAGCATTATATCTTGACACCTTTTTGTGTACAGTTACTATTGTCGTAGCTGGGCTATTAACTGCATCTACTATTTAAGTAGTACAATGATTAATTATCGTCTGATCATGTTCATGTGGGAGGGATATACTCATCGTGTTATAGTACTTTTACTTTTTAAAATATGTAATAAATATTATTTAAATAGTTGGAATTGAATTTTTGGTTTGTTGTGGCCTTGGTGGGGCTAAAGTAGGCTAATATAAATTTAATTACTATAATTGGCCTCATCATTTAAAAAGGACAAAGTGCTGCAATCTTTTAAAAATGTCAAAAACATGCCAGCTAATTATTTTTTACCAACTACCGTTTACTAGAAGAAATGATTGACTAAATATTTAGCTATAGAAATACTATATTCTTGTTATTTAATTTTTTTTATCTCAGATTTACATGCACACCCCAAAATTTATATATATATATATATATATATATATATATATAGATAGATAGATATCATAACACTTAATTATTTAATATCACATAAAATATGTTACATCATCAACTAATTTTAGCAGAAAACATTTAAACTCAAATTAAAAATAAATCAAAATGCGAATTTCAATAACTTAATTCAGATTGATTCGGCAACGAGAAGGACCCAATGACAACAAAATTGTCTATTTCGAGTCAAATCAATTCATTAAATTACTCTTGAAATTTTTGGTTAGTTAATTGGAATATAAAATGAATTACAAATCTGAAATGGTTGTTCTGGTCAAATTGAGCGCTTTATGAGTAGAATCCAAAGAGCTTAAGATCAGTCAATTCTAACGTCATTAAAATACTTAAATGTTGACAAAAACATCATCTGGGTGAGAGAGATACATCATTTGTTTGAGTGAATATCTCTCGAATGTTCGATGGAGTGGTCTGGATTCATGTTTTATTTATAGAGAGTTTACTCTCAAACTCTATAAATAGCCCCTTACTCCCTTCACGGAGGAGGAAGAGGAAGACTTGGACTTAGAGCTAGATCAGAAGGAGTCGAATTCCATTGTTATTTTGCACCAAAGACCCAATGAATACTTCCTACTCACACAAGTTGCGAACCTATGTCAGGCACCAATCGTCAGTTGTCGTCGGCCACATTCGACCACCCCTTGCACCTTCTCATTGGTGGACTCTGTAAGATAATGACATACCTGGGAACAAAACTCTTTCCGGAGTTATGGCATACATTACGGAGTAACAAAGCATTCTACGAAGCAAAATAGTGTCCTAAATACTTATAAAGATGCACATCTACGACGGTGTAACAACACACCATGAAGATTGTATAATAATGCATCCCAATTAAAGTGTAATAATCACCCCAAAGACGATATAATGATGCGCCCCAAAGACTGTGTAACTACTCATCCACTATGCGAGTAACAACATACCTGCACTTCGGGTTAATGAATAATGTCGTATGGAAGACCCGACTTTAAATCCTTATAATAACTACTTGCAACCTTCATATTTAAAATACATCGACTTTCTCAGGACTTCTAAAGTTCTTTTTGTACTCGCACACTGAAAAGTGATGTATATATTAAATCCTCCCATTGATGTGGCACCAATTGTGGACTTGCTAGCTAATTAATGCTACTACAACTCACAACTACAGACTATGTGTCTCACAACTAACGTAACTCTCAACTCCAATCTCTATGGCTTATGAACATTATTGTAGCTTACCACTATAGACTACGTGACTAACTATGGTGTTCGTGATTCACAGCTTCAAACTCCAGCTTTTGTGGTCTACCGACATAATTATAGCTCACCATTATGACCTACATTAATAACTCTAGCTTACATGGCTCACAGCTTACGCTGCTCCTAACTCCGATCTCTGTGACCTACACTACGACCTACATGACTAACAACTCATGTTGCTCTGAACTCTAGCCTCTATAGCCTACGAACGTTATTGTAGCTCATCACTACGATCCACAAGAACAACTCTGGCATACGTAGCTCACAACTTACACAGCTCCAAACACTAGCATTTGTGGCCTACGGACTTTATTGCAGCTGAAAACTGTGGTGCTCACTACCAACTATGACTTATGTGACTCATAGCTCATGTAGCTCTCAACTCTAGCTTTTTGGGACTATAAACGTTATTTTAGCTCTCCACTACGACTTACATGACCAACTACAACCTACATGACTCACATCTCATGATGTTATTGCTGCTCACCACTTTGGCTAACATAACCACTATAGTCTACGTGGCTCAAGGTTCACACAACTCTCAATTCCGACCTCATGATATACACATACTATTATTTCTCACCACTACGACCTACGTGAGCAATAATGACTTACATGATTAACCAATCTAGTTGCTTTAAGCTCCGACCTTTGTGGCCTACAAAATGTTATTGCAGCTCACCCACTTCTAAGGAATACATGACTACTAGCTCACGCAGCTCCCAACTCCAGCCTCTGTGACCTATGAATATTATTGCATCTCCCTAGTATGTCCTACATGACCAACTATTATCATTACAGTGTTGCGTTACAGACTTTTGTGGCTAACAGAGGCTCCTGAAGATACTACCTTTGGCCTGCGTGGCCAACTACTACCACATCTTTTAGCTACTCCCTCTAGGACAAGCTGACGCTACAATACAATATTCATGATAGATTACTACCTCCATAGCAAGTGACTACGTCTTTTACCGCTAGTTACACTTATTGCTGTTGAAATATTGTTCTAAATCATCATTAAAATTTCATCTTCTCTAATTTAGGAGAAGAGTTGGCCTATTTATTACTTCAACTGGTCAAATTCTGTGATTTTTCTCTTTCTAGTGTTTTTCACATAAAAATCATTGTGTTTTCTTCTGCTACATTTTATCTTTGTATGTTAGATTTTGTACTACTCTGAGATGCTAATTTATTACTCTAGTGCCGCGGAACTTTTCTCAGGCAACAAAAAATATACTAATATTAAAATTTTTAGAAGTAAAATGAACCTTTTTGGCTTATATTTTGATGTGATTCTCATACTAAAATGTTAGCTATGTAAATATAAAAAATTTCGACATAAGATTATTTTCCATTAAATAAAAATTTAAGTGGTAGATGCATAAATAAATAAGAATTGCTTGTTATATATGTGACTCTCACTTTATTTTTATATCCAATCCTTGAACCTAAATAATAAACTAGCAAATGCATATAATTTTTTTTACCTACTATGATCTAATTAAGAAATTAATAAAAATGATAAATTAATGTTATAAATTTGTCGTATTCTTTGAAATTTGGATGACATTATTGTCAATTAAAATAATGGAATATTAAGTTTACAAATAAATAAATCTGAGCTGATGATAAAATTGGTCTAAATTAGAGAAATTATGAGCCTATAATTTCAAACATGAGTTTGTTATAGCCTTAAAGAAATGGAAGATGAAATTATTTGGAACTCTCACTGATTATATTGATGGCCTAGTCAAATTTAGAGGCTTATAATTTTTTTAATGCGAAAATTTTTTATTAATTGGATAATGATATCGTATTAAATATTAATGGTTTTTTAGATATACCATTTCCCTTCAAATAGTAGTGATTTGCACAAAATTTAGAAAGACTCCATCCATTGCACCAAATTAAGCACCGGTCATAAAAGCACGCTAGCAGTGTACCGCGACACATTCAGTACATATTTTGCTATGGCGTTTAAGGTTTGGGCATTTGAGTTGCACATACATACATACATACATACATACATATATATTATATATAGATGATACATACAAAACCAGGTGATTAATCTCCCTTTCATATCAATGTACAGAAACACATGGCAGAGCTTGAATCCAGAGCAGCAGAACGAGTGATAGAAGCCTGTGTGAGAACTTCAAGTGTTAGGAAATGCGTGTTCACATCCTCTTTGTTAGCCTGCGTTTGGAGAGAGAATTCAGCCCTCAACCAACAACTCGCCAGATTCATCGTTAATGAAAATTGCTGGAGCAATGAAGGGAGGGAAAAGAAGGTCTCTTTAACTAATTTATCATATTTAAATATCTTCAGTTAATATCTGCGTTTGTCTTGCATTGGAGCTGAACTTCATCTAAAATATTAGCTTTGCCCTTTCTCAGTTACTCAAATACAGCTCTCCACATAAATAATTTGTTTCACGGAGTTCCGTTTTGCATAGAATGAGTTATCTATTAGAAAAGTTTGATGTGAAAATCTAAATTAATCCCAAGGAATAAACTTTTTCATCTATGAACCTGCAAAATCTAGATATTTTATTTACTACCAACAACTTTTCAGCTAGATATTTTATTTACTTCCAACAACTTTTCAGCATCCAACACGAATCTCGAGGCATGACACGAATCTCCAGACGATATTTTAAATAAGAAATATTTAAATCTTGATAAAAGATCAACCAAAGCTCCGATTTCAACAAACTTATAGTCAAACTGACCGACTCGATGAGACTGACCTAATGTTATGAAAATTAGTCTAATCCGAGTCAAACCAAACTCAGATCAAGTCATTAAACTATCATTGGAAGATTCCTAGACACATTTGGGAGGTCAAACAAATGTCGACACTAGCAATTTTATACTCGAATCGAGCGGCTCGACAAGACGAATCCAACGAGACCAAGATCACTCAATTCCGACATCGTTAAGGCACTCAAATATCCGTTAAACGCGACAAGATCAGAGGAAACTCTCTGGACCGTCCGATCAAAATGATTGATATTCCTGTATTAATTGCACCTAGAACACTATAAATAGAGCCCCGCCCCTCACATGAGGGAGGGGACTTGAGGCTTCAGATAGAACTAGAAGCTCTGGGAAGGAGCTGAAGACCAACATCATCCCGACCGCCGTCGACCACCACCAGCCGTCGTCCACACCAGTCGATCGTCGTCAACCACTGCTGACCAGATGCAGTGGGTCAACGTTGTAACTTGGAAAATCTAGTAACCTCTCCCTTATATAGGACAAGAGCTCACAACTGCGATCAATGTGCTAACAAGTGCTAACAACCAATGTGCTAACAACCTACACGGTCATCAGCTCATGCAGATCCCGACTTTGGCATCAGCAGCCTACGTACGCCATCAATATTCCCCCCAACGACCTACATGGTCATCAGTTCATGCAGCTTCTGACTTCGGTCCCCGTGGTCTACGGATGCATTAATACTCGACAACTACAATCTACGTGATTCACAGTTCCCGTAACTGCTTACTATGACTTCTCTGGCCAATCAACGTTTTTGGAGCAATCATCTACAACACTCACGATGGACTATTACCTCCACAACAATCAACAATAACTCTTGCAACCTGCAATCACAAAGAACAACAGCCAGATTATAGTTATACAACTTTGTAAGTTCATCTTCCCTAACTCAGGAGAAGAATGTACCTGTGTACTCATCATTTATAATGGATTATTTCAACTGGGCTAGACCCTGTGATTTTTCCCCCTTTCAAGAGTTTTCCATGAAAAAAATTGAGGTATTTCCTCCTGCTTACTTATTTTCTTTTCTTTTATCTATGTGTGTTGAATTCTCGTGTAACGCTAAGACGATAATCCATTGATCTACCACCGCGAATTCTCTAGCACGCATCAGTTTGACGCCGTCTGTGGGAAACGAAGTCTTGTTCGGCATTGTCTTCAACTCTAAGAAGCTGATCCCTTACTTCGTTTCCCAATGATGTATGTCATGCAACTGGCAAAGGAACCTTTTTTACGTCTTGAAGATCTTCTCAGAAGGATTCTTCCAGGCTGGGGGGCAACCTTCATTGCAGTCTCGAAAAATCATTCACATCAACGTTCCGGGCATGATTGTAGTGAAGTTGTCTTCTCGCATCCTATTCAGACACAATATTTCACTTCTTCCAGGCTGGAGGGCAACCTTCACTGCAGTCTCGAAAGTTCGTTCATGTCAACGTCCCGAGCACGACTGTGGTGGGGAAGTCATCCCATATTTTTTTCAGATTACAGGTCTTCGAGAATCTATCCTGGACTGGGGGGCAATCTTCACTATAAAAAATGGTTCCTCAGTGTCCTCTCATCGTACTGCAGTTCCTCTTCAGCTAGACTAGGAAGCTGATCTCTTCAAGACCCAATACTTGTGTTGTTTTACAAGCTTGTATGGAAAATACCCCCGCTAAGAGCAAAAGATTCAAAAGCAGTAACTAACAAGTTGTTAAATATTTTCTTGAGTATGATTGCAACCATATTTCCAAGAAAATATATGGTCTATTGCAATCTACACCCCAGTCTCGAGAAACGCAGAGCATATCTGACACCTCATTCTTTAGTCGATTCTGGGGGGACTCGATTCGACCTCTTCCATTACAGGCTGCAGTAGTCAAGCAAATGCTTCAACGAGCAGCCTCGGATAGGTCAAAAATCCTTGGTGGATTTCATTCGATCTCTTCCATAATAAGTTACGGTCGTCAAACAAAATCTTCGACCAACAGCCTAGGATAGGTCAACCGTTCTCAGTGGATTTCATATGACTTTGTTCATTAAATACTGTCTAGCATCTTCTGTTATACAACTTAGAACTGGTTTTACATTCTTAATGGATTTTTTCTTTCAAACTTACCCCTGACAGTTAATCCCAGGATACAAGACTCGATGGAAAACTACAATGCTCCAAGAAGCTAAGTTTCAGAAGGCACAGATACACGAAATACCTTAGAAGGCTATGAGCCTCAATAGATACCAGTTCAAGCTCTTATAAGACATAGGTTCGAGAGAGCACAACCTCGAAAGGCAAGAACCGTAAATAAAATGTACGTGATTCTTCATTTTATAAAATGAGTGTACTAACTTTAATTGTTGAATTTCATACGGTTGAAAATCAACAATAACCTCATAAGCAACGTCAAAAACGTACAAAGAAATACATTATTATCATCTACAAATATCACATTAAAGGCTACAATAACCAACATATACTTGTATAAGAGCTACAACAAATTCTTTCATCTCCAAGTAAAGTCGACATCGTCTCCTCAAAACTCCAAAACTTCTGATGATCGTCAAGGGGTCTCCAGATATTTTCTGACAATATTTATTTTTTTCGTTTGAAAATACATGGCATAAACGAGAAAGAAGAACTCGTTGTTTGCCAACTACGCAGAACGGGGACGACTTTTCTCTTCGCCGCAACGAGAAAGAAGATCTCGTTGCTTGCTTGCTACGCAGGACAGGGACGACTTTCCTCTTCACGACAATAAGAAAGAAGATCTCGTTATTTGTCTGCTAAGCAGGATGGGGACAATCTTCCTCTTTGCCGCAAAGAGAAAGAAGATCACGTTGCTTGCCTGCTACGCAGAATGAGAACGACTTTCCTATTCTTTGTAATAAGAAAGAAGATCCCATTGCTTGCCTGCTACGCGGAACGGGGACGATTTTCCTCTTCGCCGCAACGAGAAAGAAGATCTTGTTGATTACTAGAAAGAAGATCTCGTTGCTTGCCTGCTATGCAGGATGGGGATGATTTTCCTCTTCACCGCAACGAAAAAGAAGATCTTGTTGCTTACTAGAAAGAAGATCCCGTTGCTTGCCTGCTATGCAGGATGGGGACGATTTTCCTCTTCGCCGCAACGAGAAAGAAGATCCCTTTGCTTGCCTGCTATGCAGGACATCTTTTGGAAAATCCCTTTTCCTCTTCGCCGCAACGAGAAAGAAGATCCCGTTGCTTGCCTGCTATGCAGGACGGGGACGACTTTCCTCTTCACCGCAACAAGAAAGAAAATCTCATTGTTTGCCTGCTACGCAGAACGGAGACTACTTTCTTCTTCGCTGCAACGCCTCGCCGCAACGCTTCACCACAACTCTGTACCGAGTCTCCGCACCACTACTCATTGCCACAAAGCCTTGTCGCAGCCCAACACGTTGCTACAACGCATCGCCCCACCACAACACGTCACTGCAACACGTTTCCCCGCCTCGTCGCGCCGCCACAACGCACCCCTGCTTCGTGTAGCTGCCACAGGTTGCCCCGC